CATTCAGGGATTCTGTGATTTTCCTGCAGGATGCATTTCTAGCATCTTTCTAGATCTAGAAGCACCATTCCAGCATCATCAAAAATGCAGCATTTTAGTGGCTTCCCAGGCACACAAAGCCCCTGTAAAGTCACCCATCTCACACTTGCTGGCACCTCTCACCTTTTCTGACTTCAACACAAAAGAGCTGTGCTGGGGAAATCAAACTCAAAGAGGGTCAAAGGAGCTCTTCCAGGACAGAAGGCAAGAAGTTCACAGTGGAAAAAAAAAAAAATCACAGAACCACAGACTGGTTTGGGTTGAAAGGACAATCTGTTGATTTACCACATTTCAGGAAAACAGGTCAAGCAAAACTGACCAGATTTCAAAGAGCAGAATTGCACTTCAAATTCGAGTTCTTACAACAAATGGAAAAGTATCTTCTGAAACATATTTTATATTCTCAGTCACTGCAAATAAAAGGCAAATTAAAACTGGAAAAGAAAGGGGAAAGTGTAAGTAATTGGTAAGAATTTAGACTGACATTTCTCAAAGACAGCCCTGCATATCTTGCTCTGGCCTTTAGTGAAAAGCATTGGTTTTATGTTTTAATTGACATTTCACCAAGGACCTGAAGGAATAATGCCTTCAGGCCAAGAGTTTTTGACCACTTTGAAATACACAGGTCAAAATACAAACATAACAAATTACCTACCAGGAAACATTTGAATCTAGCACAGATTATTTCTGTTTTAAGTGTTAATAATAACCAGAAATCCATGGGTGTGTTTTTTTCAAACAAACCAATCCTATTATCAACAGTTGCATTCTAATGATGGCTCAAGGTTTTAGGCATCAATTAAATAAAAAAAAATCACACATCTTCATCCTCAGACACTCATTTGTTCCCTCAGATACTCATTCAGACATGGAAGATACACATTTGCAAACAGTGGGAGATTTGATGGGGGGAATTGTTTTAAATAAAACCAAGAGAACTTTTCATCTACAGCTCCAATAAATGAGGATTAATTGTTGGATTAATTTAAGAGTAAAGATTAATTTAAGAGCAATTGAAGAGTAAAACCTGGCTCTCACCCCTTCTGACTTCCTGAAAGCACATCATAGTCATTGTGACACTTCCACACCTCCATATGCAGGAGGTTTCTAAATAATTTAGGAAATTCACACAGAAAATTACATCCCAGGTGTTTTTCACCCTCTTATCTTTCACCTAAATTACTATTTGTTTGTTTGAAATGAAGAGCCAACCTCCACTGACAACATTCCCACATCCTTCTTACCCCAAACCTGCTCTTCTGCTCTTGGAAAATTCCGATTTGCCTTGGCTGCAGAGCAATCCCGTGCAGGTGCTGAGCATTTCCATTTGGATTCTCACAGCATCCATGTTAATTTGACAATGAGGAGCCAAGCTGGGATTTACTAAGACAGTGGGAGTCTCTGAAGAGCTGATTAGTTCTGAAAAGCTTTTATTGCAGATGATGGAAAAATCTGGCTGGATTTTTATCCTGGGCTGAGTTTAATGTGGATATGGGAATAGATTACATTGCTTGCAAAATAATGAGTGAAAAAAATCAGGCTTGGATACCTCAAATTAGTGAGGCTCTTATTAGACCTGCCCTGATAATCAGGTGTACTTTAAAGCCACAATTATTTTTTAATAGACAACTATTTCTTTTCCTGAACTGATAAAATAGATGTATTAGTGCTCTGCAAATAAGATTCCAACAGGTTAAAAAACCCAAACCACAGAAGTAAAATATTGATGATAGCTAAAATTATTCTATCCCTTAAGGCAAGTTTAGAGGAAGGTCCTTTGGTGAACAGAGAAAGGCTGTGTGTTTTTAAAACCAATTTCTGGTGAGTTCATATCAAATACTTTGTGACACCATTTAATGTCAAAGCCAGCTCCAAATAAACAGAGATTTTCCAGGAGCACAAAGCATCTAAACAGGTTGGCTCAGGCAGAAAAAGAAACAAAGCTGTTTATGCCCGATAATTCTTACTTTTAAAATAAAAAAGATGAGAGACAAAACTATCAGCCATTAGTTTGAAATAAAAAACCCTCTGAAAACCTGTTTTAAAAGCTTTCCTCCATAGCTGGCTGACTTTTATGGCTATTGCTTTCATTAAATGCTTCAGGGCAGCTTCGTTTTTAAATCTTCATAAAAATCAAACAAATGCAACAAGTGTTCATGTAATAGTGAGAGAAATATAGAAGAGGAAAGAGGTTTAAAATGAAAAAGAGAAGTAACTTTGTATTGGAAATGCTGATTGCACAGGACTAAGAATTATAAATATACGTTCATCCGTTTCAGAATATTTTGTTTCCTCCAAGAACTCAGTCTTCAAAATTTAGACATGTTAAATCCAAGGATTTTAAAATGGAGCTTCTATCAGAATGGGCAAATAGAACCCAAAATCTCATGTTGTAAAGCAACAGATAATGTTAAATAAAAGCTGCACAAAAAACCAACTTAAACCCAGCTTCCTAACCCCAAAGAACAACTATTTACTTTCTATCCCCGCTTATGTTGTAATTTCCATGGGCTAGAAATTCACCTTCTTGCCTGGTTTTATTGATCCTTAACATCCTTTTCTGCAGGGTTTTCTCACAGGACAGTTGGATAAACTTGCCAAGAGCAAATTCCCATCCCTGAAGTGTCCAAGGCCCGTCCACCCCCTGCCATGGGCAGGGACACCTCCCACTAGCCCAGCTTGCTCCAAGCCCCATCCAACCTGGCCTTGGACACTTCCAGGGATGGGGCAGCTACAGCAAATCCTCACAGGTGCTGCAGCTTGTCACCTTTATAGCAACTTCCAGGCTTTTAAGACTCCCAACACCTGCAGATACACCTCAAGTCTGTCAGGAACTCTGGCCAACCTCCTTCCCTGGAGCGAGGATATTTTACATGGAAGTAGAGCTAAAGGTTTAATCCTCCCACCAGTGGAGAGAAAGGGAGCACAGGCCTCTTAACATCCCATGGAAAGGCTTTTCCTACCAAGACTGACCAGGTTGGCCAGGGTTTGGAGCAACCTGGGCTAGTCGAAGGTGTCCCTGCTCATGGCAGGGGGTAGAACCAGATGAGCTTTAAGGTCCCTTCTGACCAAAACCATCCTGTGGTTCTACAATTCTAAGATGAACAAAACAGGATGTAGAGGAAGGAGAGCAGGAAACTCCATCACCTTTCTGTTTTCTCCCCTCAAAGTCAGGCACCACCACCAACATGGTCCAAGACTGGCCATCAAGGGACCCCTCTGCCCAGTTCTTTTTGTTTACTGCTCCCTTACTGCCTCTGTCCTCTGCTGCCTGTCCTTAAATACCCTGTAGCACTATTAATTGCTAAATACTATTAATTAGCCACTATTAATTGCCTACTTGATGATGTTACTGGCTTTCCTACACTTTAAACAAACAATACTCCAGATCTTCAGCTGTTCTAAACAACCTCAAGTGCCTCCCAGGTGAGGAATCCCCCACTGACAGGGATGACCTGCAGGGAATTTGCTGCCTCTGTGTGTTTGGGGTAGCAGGGCTGTCCTTCCAGAAACTCTGCTCTGGCATTTCTGCCCCTGGGTGGCAAAGAATTCACCACAGAGCATATTTAGCTGATTTGTGTCAGAGCACTGCCACCAGCTTTTAATGTGCATGGCACATTCTCCCTCAGGCTTATCCTCCTTAATATGCCAAACACTAGCAATTAAAAATTAAACCTGGCTGGCAGAACAGCTTTGGCTTTTCTTGTCCTCAGTGGATCATCTGGTCACTGATGTTCATCACCCTCTGATTCCAAGGATTGCTATTCCCCTTCAGAACAGCCAACGAGTCAGGAACGTGTGCCCAGTCCTGTCAATCCACAGCTCCACCAGGGAACAGCAACAAAAGCCAGTGACAGAAACAAACTTTATCCCCAAAATGAGTGCCCTGGGTTCAAATCCTGCACGTGGAACGGGCTGGCTGGTGAGGTGTGTGTTCCACACAGCCCTGGGTGGCTCAGACTGGAAATGCTCAGTGACTGTGAAATCAAGACAGCGACAACCTTATTGTTTCATCTTTGAGCTGCAGAACTGTCCTAAGGACAGGCACATCCTCCCTTCCTGCCTATTCCCTTATTCATCTACACTGTGAAGTCAGATAGAGAGCTTTCCAAAAATCTCCCTGGGAGCTGTATCAGTGATTTTCCAGCTTCAGGAACCGGCCTTGTAAATGCAGCCTCTGTCCAGGACGACAAAGGAGAGGCTGACACAGATCAAATGTGGGAGTTGCTCCTCTGAAACTCCTCCTCATCATCTTGGTGGATGAAACTACAGGCACTAGGGAGAGTTGAAGTTTTTCCCCTCCTGGGTGTAGGGTATTAACAGGCCCTTTTTGCTTACCGGGGGATCCTGATCCTCAGCTGAAACCGTGGTGATAACGGTGCCCTTGATGGCATCAGGAGCAACCATCCCCCTGTAGAGCTTCTGGCTGAACACTGGTGAGTAATCATTCATATCCTGCAAAACACAATTGACAAGTGATCATTCATATCCTGCAAAACACAACCAAGAGTTCAGTTCTGAAGTTCAACCAAAATTACAGACGCATTCACAAGTGGTTTTGTCGAACTCTCCCCACTCCCTCCTCGGGAAATCTGCCATTCCCAGGCTCTCCCAGTGCCACTGCCAGCACACAAAACTGGCACCCAAGGGGAAGGAGCCAAAGATCCACCAGAAATATTCCTGTGAGAGCTCAGCTGAAGGAAGTTCTGCAGGAAAACACAGTCTCACAAGTGAACAGAAGAGAGAATTCCACCCCACCTGCTCCTCCAGCAGTGGGCTCTGCTCATGTTCCAAAAGGAACAAGCTGCTGTTGTTTGATGGTGTTGGTTACCTCTAATATGCAATAAATCAAGAGGAAATAGAATGTCAGATTAGCATCCACACCCCAGGAGAGCCCAGGCTGGTGCTCTTTGGACTGATGTGTATCATGATGACAAGAAGCTTCGAAGACCCAATTTCACTGTATTTTCCCTATAGATGTGTGCACAGCTAAATGTGTATATAGACATCCATGGGCACATCCCTGTGGGACAGATGCACCCTCACCCAAACCACAGGCAGTGTGGGAAGGCCCAGGCTGGCACCACAGGAGATGCCACTGTTGGATGCTCGTGGCTCTCAGTGACATGTTGACCCTGGAGCTCAACCAGCATCACAGGTTATTAAAAATCTGTGACTCCAGGTACACAAAGTTCCTACAACGATGCTCTGACCTGTTGTCACAGCTCTGCACACTGCAAATTCAGTGTGCTGGTACTGGCTAAACATTATGTTACCCAGTCCTTTAAAACATTCACCCAGACCTCATCAGAAGGTACAACAGCATAATGAACAGCTGCATGTCAAAAAATCAGAAAATCTGCTGTCAGAAATCCAGGTAATAAATGCCTGAAAAATTCATGCCTTGTGTTTGGTGAAAGGTCTGTGATCCAAGTCCCCAAAAGGCACTGGAAAAGCCTTTTCTCCGAGTTTCAGATTTTCAAAGACAACTGGATCATTACATTAAAAAGCCACTCCCAGGCAATTTAACTAGGAGAGCATTCAAATGAAAACACTCTCATGATAACTTCGGGTTTTTTGTGTCTTGCTCCCATGATTTGCACGCTTAGAATCACCTCCCTGGAGCAGGTGAAGTTTCTGAAATACAGCCTTTTATCTGTATTTATCCCTGTATTTTGGATCCACCCCTCTCTGTGCACCTGCAAACCCACAGCCATCCTTTTTCTTGGGCCAAGAACGAGAGGTCACCCTCTGCTTTTTGCTCCCTGGGGGTGGGGAAATTCACCCTGGGATGCTTTTGTTATCTTTGAATACCTTTATGTGGCCTTAGAGCCTGAAAATTGGTGACTTGAGGTATTGGGAAGCATAATCCTGTTGCTAGATGATACACTACATCCTCTGCTAGAGAAAATGAGGAAGTCATCCTGCTTAACACACCTATTTTTTTCAAGATACACAGATCAGTACAAAATACAAAGGAATACAAAGCAAAGCATAAAGTAGGACACAGAAAGTCTTCTGCCTCTCTAACTTATCCTTCCTCTAAGACAACATTTATGAGGCCCAGTCATGCATAAAGCTGAACTGAGATGACCCAACAGGCACTAAATGCCTCAGTCATAACTACCCAGAAGAGCCTCACGTGCTTTTCTTCCTGGCTCATCTCTCCAGAATCCTAAAGCAGCCACTAATTCTTTTTATAGCAGAGTTTGAGCTTAAATGTTTCCACTTTTAACAAAATAAAAGCTCCCCAGAAGAATCATCCCAGGCCTCTGCTATGCAGCTGCAGTAAGTGCCCCTCAGAGAGACCAGGATCTCCTGTGCTCATCCCAAATGTCCACGAGGAGTAAGTGCTGGAAGCACAAAGGGAATTTTTGCAGGCAGAAGGCTTAACATGTGAAACATTGCAGATGACATGGAAATGGGAGTTTTTTGGCTGTAATGCTTTCTTTATTCTAATAAAGTCTCGTTTCAGAGGTGAGAAGGAGAAATTCTTATATTATCATCTCCTTCAACTGGTATAATTCCTTTTTATATATTATGGGCACTTAAGGTACCAAAAAGGTCACAAAAAGAAACTACTGATTTTTGGGCACAAAGCACCATCACTGAGGATGGAACA